AATTTTTTTTTAAAGTTTTGTAAAATTTGACCCGGCCGGGTTATGAGAACCGATTTATTAAGTTTGTATGGCCTTATTGAAATTTTTTCTTAATTTAAACACGTGACCTGACCATTATGACAAGCACGTTTGATTGGTTAAAAATACTTTCCGCTAATTAAAATTTAATTCCCGACACATTTTGGATCATTGACGATTGAGAATGCTTATAATCTACTTTAACTGCATTCACCAAATTTTATAGCTTTTCTGTAATATATTTTCTTTTTTTAAAACCTTTCACTTATCAGTTATTTAAATAATTAATTGGGACCTTTGCTAACAAGATCACCATGTAAATCATAGTCCCGAAGGATGATTTTGTCAGCAAAGACTCCAATTAATTTTTTATGATACATCATTAAGGTAACCTAAAAAACTTTATAACCTTACACGGATAAAAAGTTATACCTAACCCGTGCCTCCGGCACGGGTCATAAGCTAATTACTTAGGATATGTCAAGTAATTCTTACAAAATTATTTTGCCCATCTCTATTTCAGGGGCTGAATTTGATAAATAATAAACTTTGAAAGTCCAAAGTCACGTTTTCCTTTGGTAGCACTCATATAATGGATCGATCTTTACTAAGGGTTTTACTTTCTAAGAACTATTGGGCATTTCTATTCGAAGGAAACTTGATCTGAAGGTTTATTATATGGGCTAGGTGCTGAGAAAAGGGACGAAATTGACAATTTTTTCAAAGGATATTTTTTTACATAAATCAATTTAGAATAGAATTAGAATTATTTTTCACGTAAGATACAAAAGTAATTGTATTAATAAAAGTTTACATTTTCTTATGATTTATTATAAGATTTATAACATAAAAATTGATTTTCCGAAGATCTTTTTTTTTGTCAATTTCGTCCCTTTTCTCAGCACCTAGCCCATATATTTATGAATCGATTTTATTTTGAATGTTGACTTTCATTTTTCACTTATTGTGCGCATACCCGATATAACTATTGGACCTACTGTAACATCATATTTTTATGATGACGTAATACCGTGAAAATGTCAAAAATTTAATCAGAAATGTTACGGGCATCAGCAGCCCGTGGAATATCTATTACTTATTCAATAGATCATGCTTAGTCGCCACATCCATCTCAAAATAACGAAGATTTAATAATTCATAACATTAACAAATTTAATTGGTTTTTGAATTTTACACTATTGGCTGTATATTTAGATCTTGATACTGTATTAACCCAAATGAACTAGAAATCCGATTTATAGACCCAAACTATGTAGTAATGTCATAATTTAAAGAAAGGTTTGGTCGCCAACCTACTTATTTCTATGTTTTCCTGGTTTTTTACTAATATGTTCGAGATATTCTTCATAAGTTATAACATATTTTGCGCTTTGATAACGTGTAAGAACAACACGACTACGAATTTTATCGGTAATCCGACCATTGTATCCACCTTTACGAAGTAGCGAGTCAACAGCCTCTTCTTTTGTCCAACCTGTAATATTTCGTTAATTATATGCCTCATTGTAGTAATTGACATTGATAATATGCACAGAAATGATTGGTTACCTTGTTCCTCAGCAACTTCGGGCAAGTAAGTGGCAGTCCGACGACGGTTATAATCGTCAACAAATTCTATCCAAATGCCATGAACGCCGATCTATTTGAATTATACTATTAATTTAATCAATAAAGAAATAGGCAAAACTTAAGGGTGTCATCTAAAAAACTGTCGATCATCACCTCCCAATCGAGATAGTCTTCAGCATCTTCAAAATTTGTCAAAAGAGAAACTCTATATGAATGTATAAGTATTAGTATACTAAAGATTTGCATAATAAAACCCTTCGAAATGAGACAAAAGTCTATGATAAAATTAACAAACCCGCAAGTAAGATGAGAAAGTTCCCGGGCAGTAATGGGTGAAAATCTCTTATCATGCATAGCACTAAAATATTACACCCAAATTTGGTACGGAAATGTCAGGAATGAGATTATAGTAGCTTTGAAAGTAAATTATAAATATTGTATACCAAAAGTCTGCCTACAAGCAAGACTTTTATGATGGACTGATCCATTGGTAGATGTCCCAATGTAGCCATTGCTGACGCGAACTAGTCGTTAATAACATTGTCGCTCTACAATCGATACAAAAAGTATTCGATGATCGAGCTTAATAATTGTTCACGGTTGATTACCTAGTAATAGCATACTCTTTTAAGCCAGAATGAAGAGGTAGCGCATCAAAATTACCGATGCATCCACGAAGACGAGATTGACCCTGATGAACACTGTTCCAAGTTACGAAGAGCGGACTTTAAATATGCAAAGGTATTAGTATAATCTACCATTGCTTCGAGCTATTTTAATGAATTCATTCAGGATAAACATTGTTTTTTGTACTTGGACGAAAGGCGCAGTAGTCGAATGAGAAACAAACTAGGAAACTTACTATTGAGCATTCTCGAATTCTGGTTCTAAATGCTCCCTTCCTTCAAAATGGGCAACAAGGATGTCGAAACAAAAAACGCAATGCTCAATAGCGGCAACCATTTTCAAATTAGTCGTATTCAACTACCCCAAAATCACCAACAAAATTTTAATAACACGTGACGGTCTGCAAAATGGATCATGCCCTTAATGTATTTTCCCCAAATTTCTATTGGTTGGGACTATTGGCGGATTTTTGGAATTTACTACTTCTGTACTTACAGTGCAGACTTAGTGGTGGCGAAAAAGAGCGCAATCACATGATTGTTTTTGTCCAATCACATTACAAGATCAGGTGTAATGTAA